CAAGGTGGGGGGATGTCAGCCCCGGGAACCAAAAGCCAAAAGGCAAAGGGCACCCACAAGGCAAACAGAGCCCTGCCCGAAGGAGCCCGGGGCTCCAGCTCAGAGTCACAGAGTGCGACAAGGGGTAGACCAGAGTTCTCCGGGACTCCCACCCTCTGCGCTGATTAATGTTCAAGCGACTTCCCTTTTCCCCAAATGCAAGTCGCAGACGGAGAAGGAAGGTGGCTCTTCTAAAAGGGGCGCTGAGCCCCACTTGGAGAGCAGAGGGTGCTTCTCAGGCCATCAGCTGGGAGAGGTGGCGGGTCTCTTTGATCTGCTTTTGTGTGTGACACGCCACCGAGGGGAGAAGAAAGCACAAACAGCCCTCCAAAGCCTGCTTGCTTATCACAGGGAAAGACAGCTCTTTCTGTGCAGGAGCAAAAAACAACCAAAACATGTTTAATTACTACTCCACTCTCCTGTGGCGACTACGTAATTTCTGATCACCCCCCGGTGTTAAAAAAAAAAAAGCCGCATGTGCTATGACGGTGGGCTTCTTTCTTTTTCCGAATTGTGTCACAGGAATCCTGTGTTCTTACACTCCTCCCGTTCCCTTTGTTCCTTCTCATTTCTCCAGTGTCCGGAATCAACCGCCGAGACAGACACCCAGCACAGCCTTCCCTTCCCCTCTGACAATCACGGCCACCTGGGGCAGGGTTTGCTCCAGAAATACGTCCGTCTCTCGGTCCTGTTGTGAAGGGCCTCCGTGCAGGGAGGTAATTTAGAGGGAGCGCGTTGGTCCACTGGAGCAGTCTGTACCCCGAGTGTCAGGAGGCCTCTTCCTCCCCCACCTGCTTCCACCTGGAAGGAGGGCAGTTTTAAGGGAAACATGTCGGTCCTCAGAAGTCGCTGAAAGTGAGGAGTCACAGAGCCTCCGTCTTCCCCCATCTGAAAGATGAGCGGGAACAGCTCTGGGGATTCGCTGAGACCCATGAGTAGGAGGCTCCCTCTGTCCCTGACACCCACAGGGTGGGCCCTCGCCTCTCCTAGGAATGCATGCAAGAGAGCACCCTGCAGAATAACGCCCGGCATGGATGGGCAGAGTCAGTTCCTAACTGGTCGGTTTCAGACATCATCTTTGACTTTCACGCCCTGGGCAATGAGGGCTCAGTTGGTGCCCCCAGACAAAGCCAAGGTCTGGCATCCACCGTGGGCTGAGTCGAAGGCTCTTTGTGTGGCCATTCCTTCACAAACGCAGCCAGTGAGGCACCGTGACCACACCTTCACGTAGAACACAACCTCAAGGTTGGTGGTTCAAACCCACCAGCTCCAC